TTAGAGTAGTCCAGGAATAAATGAATTGAGTGAAGTCGGCGCATTTAGGCCTGTAGAGTTGGATTGACCCAGGTCCTTCCGGCCCATTAAAATTATAATCAATTTTTCTCTATCTTCTTATCAATCATACATACTCTAATAGAATAATATTACACGTAAATTTAAAATAATTTTTCTTTTTTAACAAAAGATTCTTCAGAAAAATTATAATTTCAAATAATGCTGGCTAAACGAGTGCAAAATAAATTTACCCCATGTGAGTCTATTATTTAAAAATTCATTTTTAACAATATTTTCTCCCAATAAAATAATTTGACATACAAATTCAAAAAAATTCTTATTTTTTAACCAAATATTAATACTTTTACAAAAAAAAAAAAAAAATTCAAAAGATGGGGCTCAAACAAATTTTTAGTATCAAAATTATGCCAAACGTCCGATCTCACCAAGGGTAAGCCAAAAAAAAAAAAAGGACCAAATCGACTGAGTCGGTTTGAACCAATAACTCAGTTCGGTTCAATTAATTTATAATAATTAAAAAGTAGGGTAGGATCCATTGTGGTTTTTTAACAGGCAATTAGCAGATACAACTATTGATACTTTCTTTTTTTTTTTTTTTTGGAAAAAGGAATTCTGATTTCAAATTATTTAACTTAAAATATAAAATAATTAAAAACAAACCATCCTATGTTAATGCCAAATTTGATGTAGAGGAAGGGCATACTATGTTACTGCCAACTGTCAATTTTTAATCTTTAAATTTGATGTACGGGAGGGGTTTTTGATTTAGTTAGTTGATTTGTTATGTCTTGATAATTGTATTTTATGTATTTATTTAGACCTTTAAATATAGACATTTATGAGTATTTTTGATGAATTATGGCTTAATTTCTTTTAGATATTGTTTGTTAGTTAAACTCAATGATCAAAACTAAAATTGAAAGACATGAACGAAAATCGACGAAAAATTAGGATTTTTAAAGTTCAGAGACTAAATTTTAAATATTCAAAAATTAATTTGGACCAAAGAATAAGATCGAAGAGCATACGGAGTCAATTGGATGCAATTAGAAGGTAAATGTTGACAATTGCTCGAAGAAAGGACTTAAGATGCACAACAGATAAAAAATTGGGACCAAACTGCACTTGTGTACTTTTTCTCTACAATTGCGAGTCACAATACCATGCGATCGCATGGCTTATTTGGCAGACGGAGACACCTTTCCTTTTTCAATTGACTCTTTTGAAAACCAAATTTGACCTCTCTTTCAGTACGGACCAAGGGTAGCCATTAAAGATACCTCTTGTACCTCACTAATATCACAACATAACATATAAATCTTTCAATTGGAAGTGGTCAATTTACCTCAATTAAAGGAGAGGAAAAAACTTAGCAAAGAATACAGGGCAAATAACATTAAGAAGGTGGAGATTCAAGGCTTGGGATCAAGAGCAAGAAATTGTTTTAACATATTTCTTTTATTCATTCGGGTGATATCTTTTCATTACTCCTCTTGTAATATTATTAGAAACATGCTAGGCTAAATCTTTCTTGTGTTGGGATGAAGATGAAACCTTTGGTGGATTATTTTTAATTCAAAGACCAAGTAGTTTCGTTAATTTGCGTTCTTGATTGATCTTGTTGAATTATTTAAATGGTCGTGCACTATATAGTTAATTAGTTGCTTATTATGTTTTTGGGAGACTCGTGAGAGGTATAGAACTTTTCAATTTAAATATACGTCACTGATGTTAGGAATAACATATATGACGTATGCAATCATATAGATAATCATGAGATTTAATGCATTACTTTGCATATGAATTTGGAATATGAATATGATCAGGTCATACTTAAAATAACTTACCTTGGGAGATATAGTTAAATAAAATCGAATTATCGAATGTTAAGAATACAAAAATCATATTAAATTACATAGTCTAGAAATGAAATATGATAATATTAGGTAAATTCGAAATTCTAGCATATATTTCACATATTAATTAGTAGATTAACTTAGAAATAAATAAACAAATAAAATATTTCGTGTTACATTTATACTCGAATTTGAGAACGAATTATTCTAATTCAATTTAAAGTTTATTTTTCATGGGATGATACTCTTTTGCCTACTTCATAATTACATGTCAATGATTTCGTATGCTTGCAGAATTTAAACGAACAAGTTTTTACCCTTTTTGAGAAATAAAATTTTAATTGAATTTATGATTTGTAATGGGATTCAAATAGTTTTAGTTATTTTTGGCT